CGGCAGCCTACCCCTGCTTTAACTGAAAGAAAGAAGTTGGTAGACTGAGCTTTCCCACATTTGACTCTTCAGACTGCATCTGACAAAGTAGATTGAAGTCTAGGAAAGCTCAGGCTACCTACCGACTTCTTGGTCTCAAAGGTGTTAACAAGATCTCTTTCCATACTTATGTTGTATGATTAGAAATGCATTAAATGGTCAAGTTTGAGAACTGGACAACAGCTCTGGAGACCAAGGTTTGAATCCCTCCTCAGCCATGTCAACCCACCGGTGACCTTGGGCAAGTCACACTCTCTCAGCCTGAGGGGAAGGTACAGTCAACACCGCCTCAGAACAAATCTTGCCAAGAAAACCCTGTAATAGCTTTGCTTTAGGGTCACCATAAGTCAGAAAGGACTTAGCACTTAAAAGCAAGGGCAGCAGAGAATCTATTATGTAATTGGAGTTGCTGGGCAAACTTCAGTTTCCCCCAATTCTTCTGCTGTGCTGATTTCTGCATTACTTATTTCTGCACTATTAGAAATGCATTTATTTCCCTTGAACCAAAAGACTTTTGAAAGGAAGTCAGCATGGTGTAGAGGTTTGTACATTTAACTAGACTCTGGTTCAAATCCCCACTGAACCATGGAAACCCACTGGGTGCCCTACGGCAAGTCACACTCTCTCAGCCTCAGAAGGCAGTGGCAGCACACACACACACCCAAAATCTTGCCAAGCACACCCCATGCTAGGGTCTCCTTAGGGTTGCCATAAGTCAGAAACGACTTGAAGACACACAACAAACACACACAGTCAACATGCAACTACAGCCATCATAATGCCTTACAGTTCAAGACACAGATTTTTTACAATTCAAACAAGATAGTTGTACTAGAATGGTCTCGTGCATGTCTATTCAAAAGTCAGTCCTGTTTGAGGAGAAGGGAGCTTATTTCTAGGTAAATAGTGGGTATTGTAGTGTTTAAAGAGAAAAAAGCATACGGTTTCTTTTAAAAAAATAGTTAAGATTAAAAATACAGAGAGAATTTAGAAAATTATATTGTGACTATCACTCTACCAAGGAGGGAAGCAAATAAAGGAGGTGACAAGTAACACATACCATACACACCCATCTACCCAATACGTATTTTTAAATATTTTATTTTAGCAGTGCAACCCAAGTCAGATCCAGTATCTCTGACAGACTATATTTTCCCATATGAGCCTTTCTGGACTCTCTCAGACCTACTACCCTTCCAGGCACAAGGTCCTTTTTGGTGGCTGCTCCCAAGTAAAGGGCGGCCAGGATGGCTCCCTCCTTGCAGTTCTTCTACCAGCAGCAAATGATTCCCCCCCCCCCCCCCAATTTCAACAGACTTTTCATAATGGACTATCAAGGTGTGCTGTTTTGTTTATTTTTCTTTTGACTTTTAATGGATTTTAAATGTAGTTTTAAATGCACAGGTTGTTTAATTGTGTTTTAATACTAACTTCTATGTTGTGTTATTGATCGTACATATTTTCATCTGTATTTGAACTGCCTTGAGTTGCCATATTGTAAATTCAATAAATACAATTAAATAGATAGATAAATAAAATAATTCTTATTGCTGTTCATGATAGAAGGCCTTGTTGTTTGTCTCTGTCTCTGTCTCTCTCTCTCTTTGTGTGTGTGTGTGTGTGTGTGCGAGAGTGAGAGAGACAGCGAGAGAAAGAAAGAAAGAGAATGTATTTGTTTTAATAACTCCTGCTGGTTCAAGGCCACAGTTAAGCATCTCTCATTTTCACTCAAACTCTACTCAAAGCCTGATAATGGTCCTCCAGGTAAGGGTTTTATAGTCCCTATAAATCTGGCTATAAACTTCAAAAATGGAAGCCTGTATATGACTTCCACTAACAACTACTATCCAGAAGGTAGCCCATGATTAAGGCAAGTATCTGATTTGCCACTATTTTTGATTGTCATGGCTCCATCCTATTGGAATTCTGGGAATCGTAGTTTGTTGTGGCACCAGAGCTCTCTGACAGAGAAGGATAAACCAAATGTTCTAAATCAGGTGACATTTTCCAGTTCTACTTTTTTTCAGAAATCCCACATCATTGTTCATATTCTGAAAATGCCCCCTTG